CCCCCCCCCCCCCCCCCCCGTTTTCTTTCTATCCACAATTTGCAAGAACGAGTTTGCAGAAGGATACTGCATTTCAAATGAGGATGATGACTAACTGTGTAGCATGTCCTGGTCCTTCCAAACGCTGCTGTCACATCCTGTAAATATGAGTGTACCATCTGTCCACCCAGCTCTGCCTCACTGCTGCTGCTTCACATCTCAACTCAGAGATCACTGAAGATGATCTATTTTTTTTAAGGATCGCCTCTGACATCTGGCCAGTACAGCACTAAGCAGGAGATGGGCTCAAAGAGAAATGGCACCTGGAGCTACGTTTCCACTTTACGTCTGATTGAAAACCCTGTTTTCATGGAAAACAACAGTTTTTCAGACCGAAGTTGAAGCTATTCCTTCTGTGAGAAGAGGTCCAGTATTGTGTCTGTGGAAAGTTTTAAAACCATTCTTCATAATTTACAAAATAGGCAGCCAGCAGTGAGAACACGACCATGTTCCCTCATGTTGTTTGTAAAAAAAGTTGTTAGTTAGGCACTTTGTAAACATTATTTTTTTTATGTTGCCATGGTTTTGCATCATGGCTTATGAAATAATGTAGTAGTCTGATTTATGAAGGAGGAATCTTTTTTGTAATACGTGACCTGTGAATCACCTTGTTATTGGCTTCTTAAAAGAAAGAAACTCCAACACCAGTGTGTTGATCATTCAGCTTGTGTTTTTGGCGACATTAATGTTTAATATCCCAGAAAGCAGTCGCAACTGCTGGTCTCCTCTCTTTGCACCTGCTGCTGCCCCCCCCCCCACCCCCCTGCAGTCACGACTTGTGTTCATCTTTCAGAGCATAATGTTGTTGTCATCAGAATCACTTGGGTTGCGATGACATGACCGTATGCGTGATGTTGAGGGATTTTTCCACTTCTAGAGATGTTCAAACCAGATCCCGGGGGGGGGGGCAATGGTGCTGATGAAGCGAGTCGTGAGTTGTCACCTCATTGACCGTCGGCTGTGCGGACAGTTCAGCTCACACGCGGATGTTGACGCCGGAGCTGCTGAGACAGATCTTGTCACATACCTCCATTGGGGGGGGGAAATATGTAGAAATGAGTTGATGATGTAACATCTAAATTAGGTGGAATATGAATGTATACAATCTATGCATGCGTAGGTTATTGTATTTAAGAGGAAGGATGAAGCCCTTTTCACATGTGAAGTTCACACAAATTCTTCCTCCTTACACTGCTGGCTTACTATTTGTAAAATCTCCAAAATTAAAGGTGGCATTTCTTTCTAAAAACAGTCATGTAGCAGACAATTTAACCAAGTTTCCAGAAAATCAGCAAAAGAAAATGCAAACTACTGTGCATTTCCATCCACTACCATTATGCAAATATTAGGACTTGTTTCATCGAGATAGACAGTTGGTGTTGCTAATTCCCCAGTCCAGCGCCAATAAATAAATCCAGAAGAAGACGGCACAACAAGATGCCGATGAATTAAAAGCCAGCCAGTCAAACCTCAAAGCAGTGTGAAAAAAAACATGGCCGGCCTTTATGTTTGTTTCATGTATTAATTGGAAGGAACTGGAAGAACGTTACAGCATCTTTAGTAAAAGGGAAGCTTCAGTGGACGTGTTGGTCACATGCTTCATGTTCGTCATGATTCATTCTGATTCTATTGCACATTTCTTGCATTTTGTTTTTATCGATGCACCTACTTTTCCACTTCAGCCATGCGTTTTAGTACGTTTTGAGGGCAAATAACTGGTCTGTCAGCTTTTCTGGAATGTGGACCGACTTTTAGCACGACCCAGACTGAATGTCTCCTAAAGACTGCAGGCCACCTGTGTGAGCGGCACATTTCGAGTTAGCTCATGCGTGTGCTATCTAAGAACTCTCAGATCCGCCCGCTCCACGTAGCAGCTTTAATCCCAGTCCTATTCACAATTTGATCCCTAGTACATCCAGTGATGTGAAATGGCTTTTATATCATGACTTAGAGGCATAGATGGGAGTGGGTGTCACTCCAGCTTTGAAGAAGAATGGGCTTTTGCTGAGCATACGGAGGAAGCACTGCGTGGAGAGCTGAAGCCGTCTCTCCTCAGTCCCATCGCGAAGCATTCAGAGCCGCAGCTTTGGTGAAAAATGGGAGTCGGGCTTTATAACTGTGGACTGATTCATTCAGCGTTGAAACAGCCCATTTTTCTCTCTTACCGTAAGAAGCGTACTGCTCAGTCAGAACCAGGATGTGTTCCTCTTAGCAGCCTGTGTCTCAATGATATGCTGTAGTGCTGTAGAACAAACGTGTGGGCTAACATTTGCCTTTATATTTTTCTCTCTTTTTTTCTACTCCCACTGTCTATCCTACTTCCCCCTTCCTCTTGTTTCCTCTCCCCTTGCTCTTTTGGTCCCTCTTTGTCTCTCTCTGTGGTACCTCCAGTCCACTCCGCTTCACCTGGCAGCAGGATACAACAGGGTGAGGATAGTTCAGCTGCTACTACAGCACGGAGCAGATGTTCACGCCAAGGACAAGGGGTACGTACAATTAAATGAAAGTTTAAAAAGGTGGGGTTTGAAAGAAGACAGACGATTTGGCCATTGGAAGAACTAAATGTGTAATATTTCAGTGGTAGTTGGTAGCAAGTAGGCTGGTTAATATTTGTTCAACAGTGCTTTCCGTAAAGAATGTGGGTGTTTAGTTCTGTCTTTGATTATTAAAAAATATTTATTTATTGAGTTATTATTTGGCATGTAAAAATGTATATTTATTGTTAATAAGAGTTCTGTTTTGTGTGTTTCTTCTTCCAGTGGTCTGGTGCCTCTACATAATGCCTGCTCTTATGGACATTATGAAGTTACTGAGCTGCTGCTAAAGGTACACACACATGCTAGCTCGGCATCTACTTAGGCAGTGGCAATTACTCTTAATTATAATATTTTAGCAAATAACAAAGATGGAAAATGAATCCCAATAGATTAAAGTTTCACTGTCTTTGTTGTTTCATTGAAAACAAGACGGATATGTTCCAACTATACACAAGTCTTCAACAGGGTATTTAAGGACTGCCTGCTTAATCCCTTTTAGGATTATTTAAAATAAATTCAAAGACAAATTGTTCCCAACAATAGAAAACATTGCTCTTTTTCATAATGCTTTCCTGCCACTTATTAAGCCACCGTCCCCCCCCCCCCCTTTTTTTTTTTTTTTCTTTCCAGCATGGGGCGTGCGTGAACGCCATGGATCTGTGGCAGTTCACACCGCTGCACGAGGCGGCGTCTAAAAACCGAGTGGAGGTCTGCTCTCTGCTGCTGAGCCACGGGGCCGACCCGACGCTGCTCAACTGCCACAGCAAGAGCTCCGTGGACATGGCGCCCACTCCCGAGCTGAAGGAGCGACTCGCATGTGAGCGTGGTGCTTCATTTACATAAACTGCAGCGCTGCTAAATGTGTCACGGTGATGAACTAATGAGTAGGATGTGTTTACAACCGTCACGTTTGGAGCAGTTGATTTGAACTTATTTGAGCGTTCCGACAGTAGGGAATGTGAAGCTCAATCTTTGGATAAGAGGACTGTTGTTTTCTGCAGCTGGATTCAGGCGATTATGGGTTTGAAAAGAGACAGTCGACAACAGTTCCAGCAAATTTAAAGTTTTTTATAGTAATCCGTGATAAGAAACTGCTTTCAGTTTTAGACTGTAAGTTGGACAAAGCAATACATTTGAATGTGTGTTTGAAAATTTCACAATATATTTATCTTCTCCACTGTTGCTTTTTTAAAATACTGGTTTTTTTTTTGTGTTTTTTTTTGTGTTTGATGCATCCCCATGCGTGTGTATTCTTAATTGAGCATTTTGCTGATGTCTGATAGCTTAATAAAATACAGGGTGGAGATATAATTGAAATAATTTTCTTTGCATCTGCAGAGTCAAAGTAGACAAGACAAGTCTTTGTCTGCAGCTCTTTGAAAGATAATTAGCGATTTAGCTCTCTCGCTGCTGCACTTGTTGCTTTATCTTTGTAATGAGATGGATGAAAGCAAAAAAAAAAATCAGATGCCACATGAATCATAAGCCATTCTGAGTTTATGTACAACTAAAGGACAGTTGCTGCTGTTAGTTGTTGGTTCTTTTGATTAGGTTGCTGCAACAACAACACACAAGATTTGTTTTTTTCAAAGCGGTCTATTCTATATAGTATTTCTTCCATTCCATATCTTTTTTTTTCACAAAAAGTAAAAAATAGTTTTGGGTAACAGGCTTTGAATAAGTAGGTAGGACAGGTATAGTATTTTAAATAACAGTTTGACATTTGCTTCCACACTGAGGCCACTCGCTGTGACGAGGGCTCAAAAGTAGACATTTCTTCATTTTAAGGGTAATCACTTGTTTCCGCTCCAGCACACAGACTGTTGCATTATAAGTTCAATCATTAGTTCGCTGGTAAAAACTTTTGAAGTAATGTCTCTGAAGTATTGGATGCTGCAGGGTCACCGCAAGTGAAATAATCTATTGTTGTGGTCTGGTGAGAACCCCGTGAAGCGTCAACAGTTGTTCATTCAGTTGAATAGCCAGATGCTCCTTTGTGGCTTCAGATGCTTTTGGGTTTGTAGGAAATCTGTCAAGATACACTCAAAATTTCACTGAACCCGAGGCTGTTTGCTCCTTTTCCTCACATGTCGACATCCTGTGTGTGTGCAGATGAGTTTAAGGGCCACTCGCTGCTTCAAGCTGCTCGAGAAGCTGACATGGCCAAGGCTAAGAAGACCCTGGCAATGGAGATCATCAACTTCAAACACCCTCACACACACGAGACCGCGCTGGTGAGATGGACACACACACACACACACACACACACACACAGACACACATACGTAAGCATTTCACTGCACACACAGAGAATGAAACACTGGTGCCGAGATGCTAAGATGATGTTTCTGTCTGTGTGTTAGCACTGTGCTGTAGCATCGCCGCACCCCAAGAGGAAACAGGTGACGGAGCTGCTGTTGAGGAAAGGCGCCAGCGTACATGAGAAGAATAAAGAGTGAGTGCTGCTGTCATCTGCTCACAAACACAAAGTCAGATCATTATCATATTTGTATACACGCTGTCAACAAAAATAGTGATCTGCATTTTGTACAAAAACAAACTGACTCTATATTACTTTCTCCTCCTTTTCTCTCCTCTTCTCAACCTCTCTCTGTAGTTTCATGACTCCTCTCCATGTGGCAGCAGAACGGGCTCATAATGACATCATGGAGGTGCTGCAGAAACATGGTGCCAAGGTAAACCACAGTATTTTCATTGTCATATATCATTATATGTATATCCACCTGCCTATTCACACATGCATTTAAATTGACGTAACAAATGTTTTTATTTAGCTCTTTCTCCTCCCCGTGTACAGTGCCTATGAAAAGTATTCACAGTGTGGTTGTAATAAAAATAATACTCTTTTAATGTCAAAGAGATGAGATCTCTACGAAGTGAACAAAACTATAAAGTAGTTGTTTGCGTAATTGTTTCCACGACCTGAATCATGAGAGTTTTAACCTCGGGTGACCCTCAGAATTAAACAGTGTGGGTTTACTTTTAGAGCGGCCATCTTGGTCTGATAGACAAGAGTCATACAAATTTTAATTTCTGGAAACAACGTGTCTTCTTTTGCTGCTATACGATCACTATTGAATGCGTATAAATGTAAATACGTATTATGCACATATGCATGTAAATCTGGGTCAGAAAACAGAGACATGACTGAACTTATACTCAAACATTTTACCCATTGGTTCAACAGATTGTTCCCTGTACCATATCTGGTTGATTAGGCCATTGCAATATTGTAAATCAATTATCTTTATCGGATTTTTCATCAACATGATGAAGTACCCTGAAAATTGACAAGTTTTCAGAGTGCTTGCTGATTATTGTATCCATAAATCCATCCGTATTTTTTTTTTCCACAATTGTTAAACCTAGCTATATTTACTATAATAACTAAATGTAATTTCTACAGTATGAAAGAAAAAATGAAACATCTACCAGGATCATATTTGACTGATTTGGCACATTTTGTTTTGGGGCTTTTCTATTGGTTATAAACAAAGTTGACACACACTTGAATTGGCAGAATCACGTATTTATTTACAAGTTTAAACATATTCCAATATCTTTTTTCATTGGTATTTTTTGTATAATATTTCGGCTTAATGTTTAACAATCTATAAGGAAGATTACAACTGTTTTGCCGGCTGGCATCAGCATCTCGGATCAGAACTTCCCTCCAGACTCATGATTACAGGTTGACAAAATGTCGTTACTTCTCAACTGAACCAGACCTGCTGTAGATGAAACTATTTGAGGGGAAATGGACTCACCAGATAATAGAGATGAGCAGTTTAAAGAGTTTCTGAAGGTGGATTTGTTTTTAAAGAAGGGAAACAGTTTAAAGAAGGGAAAAAATGCTCCCGAAGGTCCTTTTTTAAAGAGTGGTCAGTCAAAGGTGTTTGTGTTTGCAGGTGAACGCCGTGGACACGCTGGGTCAGACGGCGCTGCACCGCGCCGCGATGGCGGGCCACCTCCAGACCTGCAGGCTGTTGCTAGGATACGGGGCGGACGCCTCGCTGGTGTCCCTGCAGGGCTTCACCGCCGCTCAGATGGGAAATGAAGCCGTTCAGCAAATACTCAACGGTATGCCGCCCCTCTGTGTGTGTGTGTGTGTGTGTGTGTGTGTGTGTGTGTGTGTGTGTGT